ATGAGTCTAATTTGAAATTATGAGCAATTTAATGATCACTTGAGCTTTGCTTGTTAGAATATCAACTTAAATCAGTGAAACTCAAATCATATTAACTCTACTCGAAAACTCGTGTTACATGTAATCCAACTCGTGTTTCGCATGGGAGTGAGGCGGTTTCAACAAGCACAGTTTGTAATATAAAACTGTTCTCATGAGGACTTAAACTGCTGTTTAAAAAATAAAATAAAAAATCCCAAGCTTTCGCCGATCAACGGCATCATCAGGGATGAGAAATATTCGTGTGCGCTATATATATATACACAAAGAAAGTGAAGGTTGAAATGTCTAAAAGATGTGACTTATGTATGAAAGCTATAGAAATAAACTGTGAATGGAACACAAGGCTCTAATGATGGACTGTCTCCAGACAAAGGACCTCTAAAAGCACTAAAGAATAGTCTATAAAATAAAATACTAAAATATAAGGTATGCGAATTCACTACATTCTTCCCAGGAATTGAGTGTAAGCTTCCACTGTCTAATGTAAAATACTTCATAAAGGCGTACATTAGCGGGGTCGTTTTCACTTATAATAATCTTGACGTCAATGCCTTTATATTCTTTATTCTGGCAGGAATATATATGTTTTTTCATGGACGAGTTTTCATTACTGAGATGTTCTTTTACAACATAAACAGAATATTAAGCACAGTTAATGTTGGATTGTAGGAGACAAAGTCCTTTTACCAAATAGTTATATAATTAACAGACTGCAAGAAAACTTACTTGATGAATAATTTATGGTGGTGCAAAGTTTTTAAACCATAACATAGGTTTGTAAATCAATCTATTTTAATGCTAATAATATACATGGAAAAATTACTCAGTTCTGATTGTTTAAGATAAATGCAGTTTTCAGGTAATTCAGTGCAGAAGAGAGTTAATTCATTGCAGAAGAGGGTTAATTCAGTGCAAAGAAAGAAACAAATCAGACATTCTGATTGGTCAATAATCAAAGAAACTCACAGAGAGCCAATCAAATACGAGCCTTGGATGTCGCAACAAAATTTGAACATTTGGAAATTTGCGAGCGAAACAATGGCCGGCGTTTTAAGTAGGTTTCCTTTCGCCACCGCAGCTGAAAAACAGCTTAAACAACGAAAACACTGTAAAAAGCACTGCTTTTTGGATGTCGGTTCGGAAAAAGTGGTGTTTAAAGAAGGGAATTGCCGAGGAAATCGAAAATTACGAGCCGACCCAGCTTAAAACTTTGCTCGAAAAAAAAAACAAACATGGTTTAACCTCGGAGACGACGATTCCATTTCATCGAAAGTGATTCGGACACAGACTTAACAATTCCTTGAACTGTTTAGCCGGACTTTGAACTTTTTCAACCTTAAAGATGTGAAGATATCGTTGCATATTATTGTTTTGATCGTACGCGGTTGTTTTGACCGAACGCACGGTTTGAATAAATTATTTTTTGCACTTGATGCGCGCGCTTTGCTTATGTTTAATTATGATAAGCCATCTCGCATTTTTCCATGTATATTATTAACACGTAATCACATGATTTTTCTCGTGCAATTTGGAATAAACAAGCACTTGTTAATTTTTTCAAAGACCACAAATTGCACGAGCCCGTAGGGCTAGTGCAATTTTGTTAGTCTTTGAAAAAATTTACTCGTGCTTATTTATTCCAAATTGCACTCGAAATCATGTGATTACCTATACAAATTTTCATCGCTACATTGTTTTGGGCAGAAATTGTGGACATGCAACGGTGCACAAGCGAATTACAGACGGATGGATGCCGAAAGCTTTAACTTAAACTTGGTAAAGCAGAAATGGAACAAAATGGAAATAATGAACTTAGGCTCACCTCACCTGGAACAAGTACTACAATATAATTGAATACCTTCATATGTTTCTTTTGCTGTTGTAACCAGTTCCATTTGACGTAAAAATCGTACTGATCCTGCAATTCATAGATGTTCATTTCCGATGCTTTGTTCACATAACACTTCATATGTGACAGATTTGAAAAGCCGGAAAAACAGTTTGGCCTCAAAGCCACGTTTTGATGTGCCGTTTAAAAAACAACGTAGTCTGGATATCCGAAAGAACGCTTAGTTTCCCGCCTTGTTGATTTTAACGTTGTTAAAGGAAGCCGCATACTGATGTGCGGGCTCACAAGTACGTGATAATCTTGTGTTGTCGCATTGCTTTGCAGCAGTTTTTTCCAGTTGAAAGTGTAAGCCGAGTAAGTTCCTCGCCAAAGATTTCACCTAAGTTCTGGCTGATTAATTAATAAATTGGTAGCAAACAAATGCCTCATTGGGAAATTAATTTTTCTCCATAGTCAACATAAGCTATAAGAACTGTCCGATTTGAATTTTATTTTACTCGCTCGCTTCGCCTTCCTCAGAGAGTTTCGCGCGATATATCCGCAATTTCCTGTTGTCTTGGTTTCTTATGGAAAGTCCAATTGTAATCAATCAATCAGGAAGGGGGTGAAGGGTCCTATGCACGTTTCACGCACATCAGAAAGTAGAAATAACGCATCACGAAAATAGGATAATTCTCATATTGCGAAAAGCAAAACCTTCTCATTTCACGGGGTCTTAAGGTCATATTTTCACAGGACACGGAAATGAAAAACACTTAATCTTGCACCAAAAAAAAACTCCTTTCCCCCTCAATCAACCCTAAAAATTATTAAGTTCGGTTAGTTATGTTGGGAAAACGCGCTGCATTTCTTCCCAGGGTATAGAATAATTCTTTACAATTTTGTGAACGATTTTTATTATCCATACATTCATAAAGTTTGTTATACATGTGTTGAAGATGTGACCAACAAAAGTACAACCCTTTGAAGTCGCGTGAGCACAAAGTTTCCCCCAACCGTACAAGTATCAGCTAAATTTTGAGCCTTGGAATCATACCTTGGTTAGCTTTCAGTAAGTCAGTGTAATCTTGTCATGGAAACTAGTTCCATGGCACTCCTTCCAACAGTGCCAGTGAGTTGTAAATGTCGCTTGATGCATGGAGAGGTCGATAGAGAGTATCGTGGCCATCTGACCTGCTGATCCAATTGATTCAAAGCGGGCCGGGCCTGACGGGAAAATTCCGCCAGTTCCCCGAGCCAATCAGATTGCAGAGTTTAGTGACTTACTTTAGTCACGCGCAGCAGATAGAAGAGTAATGTTAGAGCAAAGAGGTATTCGTCTAAGCAACCTTTGCAAACGAATTTGGATAAGGTTAACTGCTGATCTACTCTTTTCCAGGAAGGTAATTTTAATGCCAAAGGAAAAATGGCCACAAAAAACATAAGCATTCGAAATTTTTGTGCGAAGCCATAAAGACCGAGTACCACTGTTGTTGCACTGATTCAAACCTCGTGTTTGATGTTTTGAATCATTGATCCATTTTTACTCGGATGTAAGTTTTATGATTGTAGGTGAGAGAAGAGAGTCTAAAGGTAAAGGGTGATTTTTGTTGTTATTGTTGTTGCTGAAGGTCAAAACCAACTGTAAAATGTCTCAACAGAAAGAGTTTTCATACACTCAATTTAACACTCGTATTGACTCGAGCACGCGAATTTTCGAGGTTATTTTATGATTGTGTTTCTACTGAATTCAGTTGTGGAGATTTAGCTCTGACTGTGTTGATATACACGCACTTATTGTAGTTTTGAAATAATTTTTTGCATCCTGGGTTTCTTTCTTGTCCTTTTTTTCCTTGTAATTTTTTTTCCAAGAGTGTTATTGATAATTTATTTTTTAATGTTCCTCTTTTCTCTGGTTATTAAAACCTTGATTTGTGTGTGAACTTGTGATGATATTTTGTCATCTTTGCAAACATTTATGTTTCTGAATGTCTATCCACCTAAAAGCTTTGGAAATATGTTGTGATGATAGATTACTTCTGCAAAGTAAGCAAATACATATTCACACTGCATCAGACTGCAACTGAGTAGGCTGGTTAATTTTTTAATTAATGTTAAACTAGCTTACAGCAATATTATTGATAAAAATAGGGTATAAAAGGTATAAAATGAGTGTAAGAAATATTTGTTGCATTTTAAAAAAATACAATTTCTTAGATAACAAAAATATGTTAATGTTGCTAGACTTAATTACTTTTACAAAGAAAGAAAATACATATTTGTGCTGCATCAGACTGCAACTCGTTAGCTCACTGCAAATTTAAAACAATATTGATGATGAAATGGCAAAAAAACTGTCTTTCTCTAAAGCTATGAAATGGAATCTTCACATCATTCTTCTCTGCTTTCACAGCTTAGGTGGGATCATCTATTTTGGTGAAAGAATCAAAGAATTTATTGTTTTGCAGCACATATGTGAATACATGCATCATGCTTGTCAATCCTTTAACTCCCAAGATTTGATTGTAGATTCTCCCCTCTAGCTGCTACACATTTCCTTGTAAATTAGGTGGAAGAATTGGGTGTTAGATCAAGATATAAACTTCTAACTGATAAGTTTGAGTATTCTCATTACCTGTGTGCTTGATAGTATACAGATATTATAAGGAGAGGTTACATGTTAATCACTATTGGGAGTTATAGGCTAAGCAGGTCTACTCTAGGGATGAGTGGTCAGTATAATGGGAAATGATAAGGGGGCAAGAGTGTGCTGTGTTAGTTCTGTAGGAACAGAAACAGGGTTACACTGTTGTGAGGGAAGAATATCTAGATTTGACTTTGATTGAAAGTTGAATAAATTAACCATGTGAGCCTAAGAAGTGCAATATCTATTTGGACATTGCATGTCCATGAACCACAATTGTATCATAACCATATCTTACCATGGTTTATGTTGATAGCTAGTCATGCAATAGTTTCCTGACACTGTACATTTGTTTTCAGGTATCAGTTGAACAGAATTCTCTGAACTAATGTCATAAAAATTGTAAAGCAAACAGAGAACTTCTAATGAGATCTTTGGAGTGAAGGGGTATGATATATTTTGAGACAGTTTATCTTTGTTTTTCAGTGTTTACCTCTTTAAGATGTAAACGTGGGTCATGAGATGGGTTCCCACACACCAACTCATCCCCTACAGGCCTAGAAGAATGTAGGTCATGGAGGACACAGTAAGTACAAATGCTATGTAAATTATAATTTTAGAAATTAAAACTATTAGATTAATAATTTTACACCATTAGCTTCCTTATACATTTAGCAACAGTTAAGTTATAGTAAGCCAGGACATATTTACCATAGAAATGCAAGTGTTTACTAAAAATGATGGAAATGAGATTAAAAAATTAAGATTTGTGGGTTCATTCCTAACTACATGTAGCTGATGTAGATAAAAGAGTTGTGGGGCATTTCTCAGGGTAAACCAACAACTTTGTATGAAAAAAATGGAGAAACCAGTAGACAGTTGATGTGGCTCATCAACCCTGACAAGTTTATACCATCCCTTCTTGCATCATGTAGATTGTACAAATCTAGATCCCTTAACCCTTTACACCCTAACATCAGTTTTCATATTCTCCATACTGTTCTCTGCACATTTACTAAACTGCTGACAAGGAGAATTTGTCTAACAATCAAGAGTTTCTTTAGTTGGTGATCATTTTCTTTATTCTCATGACATTAATGTGTGATTCAGTGGTGATATTGTTAGGAGAAATTAGATGCGAGTCACTCTCAGGGGTTAAAGGGTGAAGGATATGGTAGACCCTCAAGGACCAACTTTTTTTATGTGAAGCCAAACATTTCTATGTTAGCTCCAGTTTCTGGGAAAGAATTATGTGAAATATCAAAAGGCATGCAAGTCATTTATAAAAACATATTTCAAACTGAATTCTATAGCCTGCCAAAGAGTGAATAACCTTTTATAACATGTCACCATAAATGATTTCCAAAGTGTTTGGTGAGGAAAAACACTCTGCTTCATGGATTTCAACCACCACTGTTATAGATATCCTTGTGAAGAGATCATGGCTTATGAATGAATGCAAATACTTGAAATTTTTTTGAAGTCAAAATTAATTCAACACACATCTGTTACCTCCCAATACAATTTGAGTCTATGCAAGGCAGTCGGAAAGTCAATTGTTTTTCACTGAAGAATCACAAATTAGTTGCCACACAGTTCAGCTGGGATGTACATCCAGCATACATTAGGAAATGTAGTTAAATTTTCTTTGCTTCCATACTTTCTTCTTACCTCAGTGTTTCTTGACTGTCACTCGCTGTCTGTAAACAAAGAATGAAAGATGAATTGAAATCTATGTACTTGATAAACATCCAAGTTATCATCATCCAAGTGCGTATGGTCTTGGGAAATTACTAACTTTTTCCTTTGTTCAATATGGTTAATGTATTCCTTTACTTACATGTACTTGTTTACTTTTGTCTTTAATTTTTTATGGTGCTGTCTATCACTTAAAACACACTCATAGGCAGAAGTAATGTTCTGTATGATGTCAAAATAATGGTGTAATTCCCCTGCCAAGTTAAGATGCAAAGGCTAAGGATGTTGCTTGATTTACCCAGTTACATAGTAACAGCCTCTGTAACAAGTATGTGTAATTATCCCTTCCTAGTAGTGGCTTAGCTGATTCAAAACCAAATTCTCTGAACCAACATCATAAGAATTGTAGAGCAAACAGTAAGGACAACTTGTAATGAGATCTTTGGAGTGAAGGGGTATGATATATTTTGAGACAGTTTATCTTTGTTTTTCAGTGTTTACCTCTTCAAGACTGGAAATTTGATCATGAGATGTGATCCCATCCACCAACTCATCCCCCATAGGCCTTGAAGAATGTAGATCATGAAGAACACAGTAAGTACAAATGCCATGTAAATTATAATTTTAGAAATTAAAACTATCAGATTAATAATTTTACACCATAAGCTTCCTTATACTTGTAGTAACAGTTAAGTTATACTAAGCCAGGACATATTAAGCATACAAATGCAAGGGTTAACTAAAATTGTGGGATATCTGAAATTTGTTCAAAATGGGATTCTACATTAATATAATTGGTAATAATCTGTGTTGAATGAAACAACTTTTGAAATAGCATGGAATGATTGCTGTGAATCCTCAAATAGGCTGCTCCATGAATGAGAAATCTGCATACTAGGATAAAATTTAACTGTAGACCTCCCTCCCTGCCCTTTACTTGATTTTAAAATGATGTATTGCAGTCAAATCTGTGTTAAGCAGTCACCCTTGGGGAATGGGTCAGGGTGACTGATTAATACAGGTTTACCGCTAAATACAGGTTCCACAAAAGAGGGGTGATATAAGAAATGATAAAAATTGCCAAAGTTGACCACTTCATGTACAAATAATATGCATGAAAAATTACTCAGTTCTGGTTGGTGAAGATAAATGCAGTTTTCAGGTAATTCAACACAGAATAGGGTTAATTCAGTGCAAAGAAGTAACAAACCAGACATTCTGATTCCTTGAGCTGTTTTTGAACGTTTTACAGGCAATTACAATTTGGGGTCTTTGAAAAAATTTATTTATTCCAAATTGCACAAGAAAAATCATGTGATTACCTATACAAACACTTGCTCAAAAATACTACAAACAATGATTTTGAGAGAAAAACATAGATTGAATTTTACTCAAAAGATTTTTCTTAGCGTTCTTTAAATGGTTCTGCTTTAAGTGACCATTCACCTTAGTTAGTGATCATTTCCTTTATTCTCATCACCTTAATGTTTGATTTAGGGGTGATATTGTAGGGAGAAATTAGATGCTAGTCACTCCTAGAGGTTAAAAGTGAAAGACAAAACAAACAGGCTGTTGGGACTCACTCAAAGGTGACCATGACCACTTCATAGATTTGATCACTCAATAGAGGTGAAAATATCATGACTGATAGGAAACAAACTGGGTACTCTAACGACCCACAACTTTATACAGGGTGACTGCTTAATACAGGTTTGACTGTATGACAAACAGACCAGTGATGGGAACACAAATGAATAGTAACTAGGAGTTGATGTCTGAGAACAAAGCACATTTTCAGTCATTAATATTTTACAAGAAATGGGTGAGAAATTAAAATGCATAGACAATCACAAGACACAACCAAGTCATATGTAATGCTTTGAGGAATTAAGTGCTTTCAATAGTAATGAATACATGTAAATATCGGTAAGTTAGTGATAGCACTGTTATGCGGTTTTAAAAATCCTGAGTTGTTGTTGATGTGACTTGCCCAGTATTGACATTGGGACAGAATTACTTGGCATTTGTTGCCTAGAATAACTTTTTCGTGCTTTGTCAAACTATCTGCAATTTGATATATGTAAAGCAAGAGGATTAACTGCACTAAAGACGATCATTTCTACGTTAGGTGGTGCAGTGACTAACGTATTCGTGAACGTAAAGCTCAATCTCTGCTTCTTTGCGCATACTTATATTCGAGCAAGCAAGTGGATTGCAATGTAACACTTCTGTACGTGTAAATAGGAAATCAAATAAACGATTTACTTACGGATTTGGCGATCGCCTTTGAGTTCGCTGAAAAAGAGAAAATAGACAAAATAGGTTCAATTTGCGTAGAATTGTTATTACAATTGCTCTTTATACATTGTAAATCAAATATTTCATTTCCTTAGGTGTCTAAGTGCACTCTAGTATCGATTTATTTGCGCATGTGACAGTGTTCAAAATCTTAGAGTCAGGTATACAACGGAGGGAAGCTCATTGCTTAATGGCTGTACTTTTGTGTGTACTATCTACTCACCGTTTGCCTTTCTTGATCCATTCTTTGAATAAGATGAGTTTGTGAGGGTCTTATCTGTTTTGTAAAGGCAATTGGTGAGAAAGACGTCGTCATCTTCTAAACTCTTAACGGCGACCAATTTACGTTATCAACTCAGTTGATAATACTGAATTACTCTGTTAACTTTAATTGAGTTTTCTTAACAATGAAGGTGTTCTAGTGTCATTAAGGTGTGACTACACCTACGACTTTCAAACTGTACTTTATGAGTGCATTGTGTAATTGTTTGCCGATCAATTTCTGTATGGTGAAAACTGTGTCCGATGATAGAACCGAACGCACCTCAGAGGATAACGAGCGGCAAAGTGCCAATTCCTCGCGGGGAACTCACCTATTCGCTTGAAGTATGACTGAAGTCTTCCTCAATCAAGTAAACGTTGAAAGCAATCGGATGAATGAGCCTTTTAGCCTTGCATGCGTATACGTGTCACACTGTGATTGGTGCAAGTATCCACCTCTATGCCAATGCCTATGTGTATGCACCTCTATCGCTCTGACGAAGGGCTAACGCTCGGAACGTCAGCTTTTTTACTCTTTTGCTAATTTACGTTTTCAACTCAGTTGTTAATACTAAATTACCTGCTATACTCTCCCACCGACGCAGCACCACAGTTTCTTTAGAAACTTACCCTCTTTGTCTATTAGCCCCAAGTTATTAACGCGGACTCTCAGGATTCCATTGCGTGACTTGCATAACTCAAGCTCTGTTTGAAGTCACGCTATGTTTGAAGTCACGCTAAGCGACAGATCACTTTACGTGCGCTTCCACCAATATCATTTTCTGCATAACTTGCACTTATTGCATAAAGTTATACATTGGTGAAACAGGAAGTCGACTAGGTGACCGATTCCGAGAACACCTTTGCGACGTAGAAAGAAATGATAAGGACGCACCCAAACCAGCCGCGAAACACTTAAAATCTCCCTACCTAATCATTCTAAGCAGCATATGGCAGTTTGTGGCCTTTCCTTACATCTAGGCAGTTCGGGAAGCCGCGAAACTCTAGAACCAAAATTTACCTTTCAAATTGGCTCTCTTGATCCCCTTGGTAGTAACGAGCGCTTTTCATTCAACTAATTTATTTTTGTTTTCTCGTCGCCATATCCCCACCAATAGCTTAGCTCCATTTTGCGACTATAAACCCATACTCAACCCACAATTCCTCCAATCGCTCTGACGATGGGCTAACTCTCGAAATGTCAGCCTTTAAACCCTTTACGGTGGCCAATTTACGTTATCAACCCAGTTGACAATACTAAATTATCTGCTATACTCTCCCTCCAACGCAGCACCACAATTTCTTTAGAAACTTACCTTCTTTATTAATTTGCTTTTCTTAGAGTCGAGTCCAATTTCATCTAGGAAGTGGTTACTTTGTGCAATTTTACCTTACGAACTAGTAATACGCAACTTAGAGGAAAGCTGCAAAGTTTTATGAGCAACACGACGAAATATAAATAATATTTCATGTAAACGATTGTCTCCTTTGACGTCAGGACGTAAAAACTAAGCTATAAAGAAGTTTCAAGAAACTTCATGACCGCCCAACATAGTCGGGTCTCCAAATTAGCATCTCGGGTTGCAAATGTAGTTGCCAAATCTTTTGCAAGTCGTCATGGTGACAAATTGGTTGCAACTTAGAGCATTATGAAGTCAGCACTCCAGGCTTCGACCGTTTGGAGCGCAGTGGCGACTGAATAAACATTTGGCGTAAATCTCTAAGTCGGCAACCTCTGTTCGGCAGTCATTAAGCAAGTTGTTACGTTTTTATAAGAGAGTTTGTATGGTTTGAAGTGGGAGCGGATAATGTACTTTCGTGACAAAAGTCCTCGTCTTGCGTCGCTTTCTTCTTAACCCTTTACACCCTAACATCAAAATGCATATTCTCCATACTATTCCCAATACATTTCCTAAGATCCTAACAAGGAAAAGCTGTCTAACAACCAAGAGCTTCTTTTGTTGGTGATCATTTCCTTTATTCTCATGACGTTAATGTTGGATTCAGGGGTGATATTGTAAGGAGAAACTAGATGCTAGTCACTCTAAGGGGTTAATGGGTTGATTCCTCTTTCTCCTTACTTGCCTGAGTATACTATGAACCTCGAGATTTTACGTGAATCATCATAAGCGAATGTCAGCCATATAGCTGCTTACCTCAAAGAACAGTGGCGCGCTCAGCGGTCAACCATCAATAGAGCTGCTCGACATTAACCTTCAAACGGTTTAAAGGTCTTTCAAATCTCCTTATTCGAACCCTTTGCGAATAGTTCCAGATCTCGAAGAATCTTTCGACTAGTGAGCCAGTCTCTAGGTTTCAAATAAATCATGTCACTTTCGATGATTTTCGCCTACACGGACAATTTTAAAAAACAGTGGAAACCCGCACATAACAACCTCGAATTTAATTTTGTTTTGATCGTTAACACGATCTTATGCCCGATGAAATATTGCATGACAACCGGTAAAAATCACATGGACAGTCTCTGATCTGCGAGAGAGCTGGTCTCAAATTAGCTAAGGAAGTGTTATGATGTATATGAAGGAATTTTTTTTCCTGAATTGAGGAAAAATGAATGAACCTTTTCACTGTGCTGCTTTTGGTTTTTGTTTCTTCTTTCAGTTAACATCTCAAGAGCGGAAGGAAGAGTAGAGGTCCAGAGTGATCAAGTGCATGTGAATAATTTTCGTACTGCCCTCAATTCAAAGTGGCAATCTGGGCAGGTATTATTTCTTAGGAAAGTAGTACAAAATATACAAGAGCCATTAATAAGAAAATTTAATTAAATACCAGAACATTTTTTCCTACGTTTATCTTAAAGCTATTTTATCACCAATTTTTTATTTCCATTGGTTTCCGAACACCTTGAGATAAATTCATCACTATTGAGCCTTCAAAATCATCAACTTGGATTAGGTTTACGAAATGAGTGCTTTTTCTCTTCCTTTCCTTTTCTCCAACTGCGTCTCATTTTTTCATAGGTCAATGTAATGACACTAACCTGCTATATCCTACTTCCAACAAATTTTCACGAATTCTCGTTTAGTCAAAATAGATTACGTCCCAGATCTTTGCACCTCTTGAAGAGATAGTTCCGAAACGGTTCATCACCTTTTTTATTATTGTTCTTATTCTAATCAGTTTTGGAAAGCTTTTAAAATAATTTGGTTTGGGCTTTCTGGTGAAAATGTTGAACTCACTTTCCAAGATATTTTAGTAGGTAAATTGGATAAAGTAAGTTTGAAATTGCAAGTTAGTTATTGCTAAATGAGACATCTGGACCAGCCGTAAATAGGTGCTAACCAGAATACTGATTGATTTAAGGGATTGGTTAATCTGAAGTATAATACTGAACGACATAATTCAATTAAATACAATGCTGAAGAGAAACTTCAGGTCAGAGGTAAATTTTTCCCTAATAATGGCTTCCATCTATCTGAATCAGTAATTATACGACTAAAGTATGTAATAGTAGGAAATAATTAAAGTGTATATATATATATATCAAATCTCGCGTCGTTCTTTCGCGTTCGCGAATGGTTCTTTGTTCGTGATTCATCGAAGTGATTACCCAAGCCGTGGTCAATTGGGCACGGTTGCTTTCTAGTTACTAGAGGCTGATAGTTTGTTTCTCGTTTCTGAAGCTCACGTTTCATGAGATTTACTTGAAGTCAGAATATTACGACGTTTTATTGGAGAACCTGAAGTAATTAAATTATGTCGTTGTTCAATGTCTTCCCTTTGTGTTCTGGACAAATGCAGCTCAAGGCTGGAACGGACAAAGAGGAGTAAAGATCTATTATTAAGTTTAAGGACTCCATTACACAACGGATAGATTTGATTTAAAACAGAACTCGTAATGCTTGTATATCTTGAATTGTATCATTTATAACAACGTAGTGATCAGAAGCAGGACCGGAATTACTGTTTAACGCTAAGCTAACACTGTTGCGTGTGCACTAGCTGGAATGTTTTTTAAATATGAAATGTTGCTGCAAGTACGCTATACTTAGTTTTGGCTGCCTTAGCCAGCCTTTTTGTAGTCTCTAAATTATAACTAAAAGTGGGTTTTATCCAAGCTTTGTTAAAACGCGAACGAGCTAGTAAATTTTAACTGGATCAGTCGTTTTGCGCGGTTTGTAAACGGTTTCAATTATATTTAGTGTTCTGTTTTTTTTTACCCTGTCACGTCAGGTAGAACTGCACTATTTTTTTTTTGTTTCGTAGAAGTCAATATTTTTCTTTAAGTTTTTTTCTTCCTTTTTTTGTAATGGGGGGGGGGAGGGGGAAGGGGGGATTTGAGTTTGGCTAACTTTGTACTACAAAGTTATCCATAAATAGCTAGGAAATAACTCATTTAAGTCTTCAGTTGCTTTTCTATAAGTACAGCTTGTTTTTCGATACTTGTAGATGTATTTAATAAAACAAGTTACGACGTTTGAAATGTACCTTTTCAAAGGAGAGAAGTCGTTGTCAGCGGAGATGGAAATTAACTATTTTTACCATGCTGTTGCTCTCTGAAAGCATGAAATTAGCAATGAAAAACATGAGGAAATCCGTAGGTCAAGTGATAGTTTGTTTAAGAAAAATTTCAAAGGTCTTTGAGCTGCAACTTTTCTTCTCAAACTACATGAAGGATCTTGTCAGGAAAGCAAGATCACGGGAACTCCGGCAGAAGCTGTGGACGTATCACCACTTGTGCATCGCTCCTTAGAAGACCAATTTGTATCACTCATGGTTACAGAAGAGAGGGCTAAGTTTTCAGCCGATTATCAACGCTTATTCGTTCTCATTGATCACAACAAAGAAACAGTGTAGGACTGGTGTTTTATCACTTTAATGTATCAAAATAATATGAAATATGCCTAAGCGCGCCATTTCAATCTCCTGCTGCCTCGAAGTAGCTCTTGTAGCGCTCTTTTGTATTTCCTAGCTTCGAAAAAAGCTAGTAGTAAATTTCTAAATTTCGAGACCATTACTCTATGTCAAATTCACAATAAAATTACACATGGAGACAAGTTAATCGGTAGCTTTTACTACACATTTCATGGTTTTTCAAACAAAACTCGCGCTTTCCTTGTATCAGCATCACCCAAATCCATTTCTGATAAAAGAACCGCGAAAAAGTAATAATCTCTCTCTAAAATTGCTTTTACCATACAATTCCTTCTAGTGAGTTGCAACGTTTGCCCCGTAGCGATCCTGGAGATCTGTGCGCAAACACAAGGAACCGATTATTGGCAACTCATTCATTCCAATACGTTATGCAAATTCGAGACACAGTAGACGGTTTTGCACAGCTTCCGATTCCCAAAACTTCCTTGTATGATCATGATTTTTGATATTAGTAATAAGCGGCGCTCGCAATCACCCTCCCGAAACCGAAAGTTAGAATCGGCAGACTATCTTTCAGCCAATCAAGATACTTCAAATAAATAGGGGGTATCAAATGAAGAACAACACTGGCTGAAAATGAACTACGATGTTAAGATTTTGGAATAAATTCCGGTACTCGAAGGTGAAAAGATGTGTGTGTCTCAAGATATTTGGATGTATTTTTTATCCGCTGCTACGCAACAAGGAGGCCCAAGATAACAGTGGAACATGATGAA